GGTTGGACGGGGCTGGGAGCCCCCTGGGCTGGGGGAACGTGTCCCTACCCAGGGCAGGGGATTTGGGACTGGATGGGCTTTAAGGTCCCTTCCAACCCAAACCAGTCTGAGATACCTTGCTTTTGTGAATGGAGGTTGCTCATTTATGGTGAGGATTATCGCTTGGGCTGTATATGCTGCAACTTTCTTGAGGGGAAACAGAAAAATGGGGAGAAGACCTTTGAATTGCATGCTCCCTTCTAAAACTTGCTGTGGGTGTCTTCTGTAGTGCCCAGATAGTTGAGGTAGAGGCTTGGCATGGGGGTGAGTTCTGCTAAACACCAGCTGAGCTTTCGTTAGCAATTTCCTGGCTGGCAGGAAAAAAAAGACAAGATCCTTGTGCCTTTGCCATGGGGCTTTAACATCACTTTGTCCCTTGTGCTCGGTCCCCTGGAGCCTGGCAGTGCTGATCTGCAACCTGTCTCAAGTTTTTTTTTCCAGTGGTCAGTGGGAAGGATGAACCAGAGCTGGTTTGCACCTGGAACTGGGTATGAGTGTCCTGAATTTCAAATGCTGAAGTGAATGAAAGAGAATACCAAATCTGATGTTGAATGAGCCTAAATAAACCCTTCCCCTGTATCGCTGCCCCTTCGATTCTTGAATCCTCCGTGCCCTGCTGCTAGCCTTTCCTCCGAGGGCAGCCCTTTGCCTGCTGACATCTTTGGTATTTTTTCTCCTGCCCTCTCATTTCTCCCCAGTAATTCAACTGATTTTGCTGTACTGATGTACAGAACAACCACAGTGGAATAGTTGTGTAGTAGCTCGGTACCTTGGGACCAGGAATAAGCTATCCCAGGAGGCTGCCAGGGTGGAAAGAGTTGTCTTAAATGCCCCATCCAACCATTTCTTGTGTCATGCAGAAGAGGTCTGCAGTGAGCTTGTTTATACGGTTACACACGCATCTGTCTTGCATATAGGCAGTAAAATATATATAGCTGGAAATATAAGTTAACTCCTTTATTACGGGCATTCTGAGTATAATCACAAAGGAGCCTGGGCTAAACAAAGCTGGTGGTTAAATACATTTGAAGGCTATGAATGCCACTCTTTTTAAACTTATTTCATTAACTCCTTTACTAGCGCATCTCCTAAAGGTGTGCATGTTAGAAAGAGGGGGAAGGAAGCTGGGACTCATAGCCTAAAAGCCATTCATCAAAAGCAGTGCAGCACCAAAAAGGACAGGGGTGAGCAGAGCTGGAAATAATGGTATAGAAACATTTAGAAATACGTGAAAAATTAAAAGCAGATTTAAAATACCTACGTGATGCGGCCCCGTGTGCTCTTTGCTTTGCGCAGACAGTTATTGCATCGTAATTTTTAAAGCAGTTCTGTTAGTGCTTCTCAGAGCTGGAATGCTGTATATTTTCCTTGGGGAGAACATTAAATGAACACTGGCTTTCCTACTGCTATTGATTGTGGAGATGATATTAAATTAAAATAAAGCAAGAAAACAACTTTTGATTTCTTCTGTGAGGAATCTAATAAATTTTGTTCAATATGTTTTCATCTAATTTTCTTTCCTCCTGCATCACTGCTGTAATAGGGCTCCAAGCCCCAGCAGAACCAGGGTCCCATCCTGTGCAGATCCGTACAGGTAGAAAGCAAAGGAGGTTTTCTTTCTGTCCGTGGCATTGTCATGTCTCCAGGAAGAAGCCCATGAAGATTATCAGCATTCAACTTAAACCAAGTGGTTTTGGCCCACTTGCTGTTTTTTTTTGATTCAAGGTGCAAAGGCAAGACAGACGTGGCAGGGGGGGAGCTGGGTCAGCAGGAGGACCAGGGATTTACAGGAGGTCTCTTGGGAGTATCCAGGGGGAAAATCAGAGCAGGATGCCAGATGCTTTGGTGCTCCACCTCTCCTGAGCTCATCCCTGGCCGTTGGGTCCGGGCTTTGTCTTATACCCCAGGACATGGGGACCGTCATGGGGAGTGCAGCTTTTGATTTCCTGAGAAAGCTTGTTTGTGGTCATTTGAGGGATGAAGAAGAGCCAACAAACATAAATCCTAACAGCTCAAAACCAATAAGGTATAAAACTGTCTCATGTATTTTTAAACCCAGTAGGTTTTGAGCACTGGGTATTTTCAAGCACGCTTCCCCTGGCACAAATTGCCCCAGATTCTGCTACTTTCTTATCTTTCAGTATGTCCAGAAAAGGAGCAAACCACATTAATTTTCCTTCACCTTACTCATCTCTGTTTCGCCTTGAAATAGAAAGGACAAGTTTTCTTGCTGGAGGTCAGCACTTATCAAAGTTTATGAGATCAGAGTGGAAGATAGAGTAGAGCAAGGCTGGCTGCATCTTTTCGCATCCAAAGCTATTAAAACTTCCTTGATAGAAACAGTATTTATCTGAAATTAAATTATTCTAAAAATGGCCATAACTTTCTTTCAGAACAACAAAAGATACCACAGTATGCAAGATGCAATCCTGCCAAGCAGAAGTTAAACCCCAAAAAAAGAAAAAGGCGACCTAAATATACAGTTGTCTCCATCTGCCTGAAATAACCATGAAGTATTTCAATAATTGGATGGATGGAAAAGCTTACCCAAAGCTACAGTTTTCCTGTGGTCTGAAAGTGATCTGATTTATTTCAGGCTTGTTTTTTACATATAAACCTAATGTTGAAAATTTTGGACTGAGCAAAAGGGAAGGGTTTTTTTGATGAATTTGATAATCTGCAAGTGCCGGTGATATCTCAGAGGGCACAGATGAAACATTTGCTGCATGTAGCCACACAGGACTATGTTTGTCATGGTTGTTGACTTAAGGACTATTAGTTAATGACTATTATTAAGGACCACTGCAGCAGTTAATGGGATTCAGGACTTGTTTTGGGGGGATTAACCAGCAATAAAGATCAGAAGAACCTCTTGGTGCCCCAATAGGCTACCATCTAAATCCCATCCCTAGTTGATGAGCAGGGGACTTCCCAACATCATGACACGCACACACAGCCATTGGCTACTAAAGTGCATGCCAAGGAGGTAAAACCTCATGTAGACACGCAGTTGAGGGAATTACAGGGAAAATAAGCATGGTGTGATGAAGAAGTGAGCTGGAGTTGGTTTAACACCCCTAGCCAGATTGGTCAGGAAGCAAAGCAGGATCATCGAAATGGAGCAGGCAACAGGAGAACCCTGGAGCAATGAATATACTGGAAAAGAAATGGTTATCTTCTACTGAAGCAGAGAGTAGGCAGGGATATTTCTGATTTAAGATCTTCATCATTAATGTTCTGCTTGCAATCACTGGATCTGCAAATAACTTTCCGAGGAGCTTCTTGATTGCTAAAAGGCTGTATATATTCCTGAGCACAATGACAACATAGTTTTATGTAGCCTAAAAAAAAAAAAAAAATTCTGTTAAACTGCTGCTTATCCAACATTAACTACAGCAATTTTTAATTAACCTGATTTAGAAGCCAAATATATCGCTGATGAAAGTGAGAGGGTAGAACATAGAGTCATTTATTCCAGTACAGTGGTCATGATTGTTGAATTAGATTTATTCAAATGAACCTCAAAATTTTGCCGCAGTGGTCGGCTGTGTGCCGGGTGCCAGGTTTCGGAAATCTGCATGTCATCGAAGAGCAGTGAGCTTTGGGGCACGGGAGGGAGAGATTGCAATGTGTTTGTCTTGCTGCTCAGAAATCGGGAGGAAAGACCCACACTCGCCTTTATTTAATAAAAAAAAAAAAAAAAAAGATGGGGTGTGAATCGACTGCTAATTACCTCTTTCCAGCCTTTGCTGGCAACCAGCAGACAGCGTCAGTGGAGCTTGGCGTGGAAAGATTCTCCAGGGATCATTTTGTCTGCCATTGGGTTGGCTTTGCTCTGGGACAGTGGCCAACGAGATGCAGAGATAAACCAGGGCAGCAGCCGTGGTGGTGAAGCACAGCAAAGCCAAGCTCTCCGCCAGCAAAGGAAGATTAACATGTCCCATTTGGTCTGTCGGAGGGATTTACGCAGGAGCACGTAAGAGGGGATGGAGTTATTCGAGCATTACCATTTTTAGTTGGGAAGACTTCCAAGAAGTGGAGGTAGGGCGGTAAACAAAAGCAAAACGGAGCAGACCGAGGTGCAGAGGTTGTCGGCTGTGGTCTTCATGGAGGACAAGAACCTCTAATGAAGTAAGAGTTTGGTGCAAGACATCTGCACTGTGTGGGGGTGCACAGAGGGACTTGGGTCTGGAGTGTGCGGTGATTTCCAAGCCCTCGTGTAGCTGACTGCTTAGATGATTTCCCCTGAACTCCCCATGACCGATCCGAGTGAAGATGATGAAAATTGAAGATGTGCTGCAACCTTTTCTAAAGTGCCCATTAAAAACTCATGCGGCTTCAAGGGGTACGAGCTGCCGTGCGTGTTCCTTCCAGGTGGCTTGGCAGGTAATTGGGCCCCTCTCAGGGACGGCAGTTGTGCAGCCATGAGTGAATCTAAGAGCTGGCATGTTTTCATGCAATGTCTCTACCTTCATTTTAGCAAGAAGCTCTGGTTAATGGAAGTGCTGAGCACTGAGAACTGGGGCTGGGTGCTGAGCTCTGCTGTTGGAATGCAAAGTGCTATGAAGATCAAGCTACAATGGCTGCAAACAGCCAAGGAAAACCTTTCAACAACAGCTGTGCTGATGGTTTTTTGTAGCTGAATTCTGCATTCAGTGTGTGTATTTTCTGGGTAGTTTTCTTCAGACCACACTGAACATTCCTCTGTTCTCCGTTCTGGTTATCATCCTCGTTTTCTACAGGAATAAAGATGAAATATTGATGATGTCATGTGTAAGTCTGTAGAGTACATTCATAGTACTTCTTATACCCTGGTCAACTGAGAATACATCTGTGCTTTGCCTCTCAGCTGTGCCGATGGCCTTGTTGCTCACACAGGTTGTTTATTGCTTTCCAGGGATGCTGTCCTCTTCTCTCTCCCTGTTGACAAAAGTGTAATTTCTCTTTTTTTCTCATTGCAGGTTATCCGACGGGCTATCCCACTGCTGCCCCAGCCTACAACCCAAACATGTATCCAACCAGCAGCCCCGGCTACGCCCCAGGTAAAAATCTGTGTATGGAGATGAGATTGGTCATGTTGAAGCATGCAGGAGGATTTACCTTTTGCTGCTCAGTGTACAAAACCCAGCAGTTTCCATGTGCTTGTCAGCAAATACTTTTCAGGAAAGGAGCCTGGTTTAAGTTCTTTGTTTCCTAACTCTACCATGACCTTCACACCCTCCACTGGGAATATTTGTCTATGTTGTAAAGTATTTTTGAGCCATGAATTATATCTTAATACTAATTCCAGGAATTTTGCAATCCTCATTGCTGTGATACCTGTGCACTGATGGCATTTACGATTTTCTGACTACTACATGCTATCTCCCCGAGGTTGCCTTCCCCTTCCTGGTCCTTGTCCTCTCCTCTTTCCATGTCACAGATGCAGAAATGTCAGCAACTGTGTCCTGGTCTGTGTCTGGATCTCCCATGCTGTGTCTTTACTGTCCCCTGCTTTTCCATGGCACTGATGGACTCTGGGTCTGTCCTAGTGTCATCTTCTGTCCATCTCCTGCCCTTCTCACCACCCTAAAATGACTCTTCCAAAGATGCAGCAAGGTATTCCTGGCCAAACTCTGGAACTCTTCTGCCTTAGCCTTGGTGTTCAGGTTGCCTTTGACAGCACCAGCTGCACTTTTCTTCATAAAATCGTGTTTTCCCTTGGCTTTCCCAGTTTGGCCAGTTGTCTTCTACCTCTGCTGATCATGTCCATCGGGACCTATTCGTCATCTGCCTCTTCCAGCTTTCCATGAAAGATTGGCCAGGCTCTGTCCCTTATTCCCTTCTCCAACACTCCCCATCTATCTCTGGAAATACTTACTTGGAGGTACAAGGACTTCATTTTTCAGGGAGGTCTTAATTTTCCACACCAGCCACACGCTCTTTTGCATCCTCCTTTGCAGTTCCTCTGAACTATCCTCCCAGCCAGGCTGATGGATAAACGCATTCATCTTCCATAGCTTAGCCGCTCCCCTGGAGCCCTGTTCTTTCTGCTCTCTCCATCCTTGGCAAATTCTCCTCCATCCTTCCAGAGAGCTGGTACAAAAATAATTTTCCCAGCCCACTGCTTTAATCGTGTCATCCCCCTCTATTCTTCTCTCTTGTTCATATCTAGCACAGGCTACTTGTCTTTACAGAAACAACGCCCATTCCGTTCATTCTTGGTGCCCAGAGCCTTACTGCTCTTTCAGCTCAGCCAGCAATGTCTGTCCTCTTCACCTCTGACCTTTCCAAGCAAGCATCTCCCTTGTTTCTTCTGCTCCTCTCACTGGCAGGAGGCTTCCCCTTATCATGCATAAAGCCATTTCTTGTTTGAATTCCTCCATTGGCCATGTGGGGTTTTTTTTGACAAATTCCCATGACTGCAAGCTCCTTCCGTTGCCTGCTGTTGAGCACCATTTCTCCACACCTCCGTTCTCTCTGGTTTCCACTGTTGTTTCTTGGCCAAACACGTACCCAGCCCATGGCTCTGGTTATGTTGCTCTGTGGATGCAGAGGAACACCTGCAAGGAGGAGGACACACACATCCAGGACCTTCCTGCTTGGCCGGAGAGGCTTGGAGAGGAGAAAACATCAAAGCATGTGGGTGGGATGAATACAAACCCAGTCATGCCCTGTCCATCGCTTTGAGATTGAACACCTCTCCTGCATGAGGTGGGGAGACCGGGGAATTGTTTGTAGCCAAGGGCTGCCAGTGGTAGAAGATTCATGTGGATTAGGACAGAATGTAAATTAATCACAGGAGCTGCTGTCAAATAAATTCCAACAAGGACACTTATTATTCCAGAAGAAGGGGACCTTCCACTGTTTTTAAGTCAGAGAAGTTACTCCAGAGTAGGAGTCATAGAGTAATTCCCACCTTTCCACAAGGAGTTGTCTTCACCACAGCACAGACTAATGAGGTTCCGTGCTTAATGGTGAATATTTGGGTTGCTCTGCTAAATCAATCACTTGCTTTTTTATGCTTTCAAGACCAAACTTGGAAACCTTAATAGAAGTCTTTTTCTTTTTGAAGTTGAAGACTTCTCTTAGGCTCCCACTCAGGAAATAATTTAACTGAAGTCAAACCTATATTTAAGTAATTTAGTGAAACCAGCCCTTTGGAAAGACCAAGCAACCTTGATTTTCTAAAGTGCGATTAAGTTCTCTGCTTTCAGCCAAATTAACTGGGGTACGATAGCCTTTTGGCATGACAAAGAAACCCAAGGGTACCCAAGTAGCTGTTTCAAAGTGTAGAATCATAGAATCATAGAAAGGTTTGAGTTGGAAGGGACCTTCAAAGATCATCTAATTTCAAAACTCCTGCCCCAGGCAGGGACACGTTCCCCCAGCCCAGGGTGCTCCCAGCCCCGTCCAACCTGGCCTTGAACCCTTCCAGGGAGGGGGAAGCCACAGCTGCTCTGGGCACCCTGGGCCAGCGCCTCACCCCCCGCACAGGGAACAATTTCTGCCTTAGATCTCACCTAAATCTCCCTTCTCTCAGTTTAAACCTGTCACCCCTTGTCCTACCCCCACCCCCTGACCCAGAGCCCCTCCCCACCTTTCCTGTCCCCCCCTTTAAGCCCTGGGAGGCCGCTCGAAGGGCTCCCCGGAGCCTTCTCTTCTCCAGGCTGAACCCCCCCAACTCTCTCAGCCCGGCCTCCCAGGGGAGCTGCTCCAGCCCCCCCAGCATCTTCGTGGCCTCCTCTGGCCCCGCTCGAGCAGCTCCGTGTCCTTCTGCTGTTGGGGGCCCCCGAGCTGGCCCCAGCACTGCAGGGGTGTCTCCCCCGAGCAGAGCAGAGGGGGAGAATCCCCTCCCTGGCCCTGCTGCCCCCCCTGCTCTGGCTGCAGCCCAGGGCACGGGTGGCTTCCTGGACTGCGGACATTGCCAGCTCATGTCCTTCTTTTTATCCACCAGTATTCCCCAATCCTTCTCTGCAAGGCTGCTCTCCATTCCTTCATCCCCCAGCCTGTATGGATAAGCAGGGATTGCCCCGACCCACGGGCAGGACCTTGCCCTTGGCCTTGTTGAATTTCATGAGATTCACATGGTCCAACCTCTCCAGCCTGCCCAGGTCCCTCTGGATGGCATCCCTGCCGTCCAGCATGTCACCTCACCACACATCTCGGTGTCATCGGTGAACTTGCTGAGGATGCACTTGATCCCACTCCCCCTGTCACCAACAAAGATGTTAAACAGTGCTTATCCCAACACTGACCCCTGAGGAACACCACTTGTCACCGCTCTCCACTTGGACATGGAGCTGTTGACCACAACTCTTTAAGTGCAACCATCCAGCCAATTCCTCATCCACCAAGTGGTCCACCCATCAAATCCCTGTCTCTCCAATTTAGAGACAGGGATGTTGTGCAGAACAGCATCAAATGCTTCGCAGAAGTCCAGGTAGATGACATCAGTTGCTCTTCCCTTGTCCACCAACGCTGTAACCCTGTCGTTGAAGGCCACCACATTTGTCAGGCACGATTTGCCCTTAGTGAAGCCATGTTGGCTGTCACCAATCACCTCCTGATTTTCCATGTGCTGTAGCATAGTTTCCAGGAGGATCCACTCCATGATCTTGCCAGGCACGTTGGTGAGACCGACTGGCCTGTAGTTCCCTGGGTCTTCCTTCTTTTCCCTTTTTAAAACAGGGGTTATGTTTCCTCTTTTCCAGTCAGCGGGAGCTTCAGCGGACTGCCACGACTTCTCAAAGATGATGGATAGTGGCTTGGCCACTTCATCCACCAGTTCCCTCAGGACCTGCGGATGCATCTCATCATGTCCCATGGACTTGTGCACCTTCAGGTTCCTCAGATGGTCTTGAACCTGATGTTCTCCTACAGGAGGTGGTTCTACATTCTCCCAGTCTTTGCCTTCTGCGACTTGGGCAGTGTGGTTGGAGCCCTTGCCGGTGAAGACTGAGGCAAAAAAGTAATTGAATACCTCAGCCTTCTCCTTATTCTGGGTAACCAGGTCTCCTGTTTCCTTCCAGAGAGGCCCCGCATTTTCCCCAGTCTTCCTTTTACCACCGATGTACCTGTAGATGCTGTTCTTGTTGCCCTTGCTGTCTCTGGCCAGATGTAATTCTATCAGAGCTTTAGCTTTCCTAACCCGATCCCTGACTGCTCAGGCAATTTCTCTTTATTCCTCCCAGATTATCTGTCTTTGCTTCCACTCTCAGTAGGCTTCCTTTTTGTGTTTGAGCTTGTCCAGGAGCTCCTTGTTCATCCATGCAGCCTCCTGACATTCTTACCTGACTTCCTCTTTGTCGCGAAGCATTGCTTCTGAGTTTGGAGGAGGTGATCCTTAAATATCAACCAGTTTTCTTGGGCCCCTCTTCCTTCTGGGGCTTTATCTCTTGCTACTCTGCCAAGCAGATCCTTGAAGAGGCCAAGCTCTGCTCTCCTGAAGTCCAGGGTAGTGAGCTTGCTGTGCACCCTCCTCGCTGCCCTAAGGATCTTGAACTCTACCATTTCATGGTCACTGCAGCCAAGGCTGCCCTTGAGCTTCACAATCCCCACCAGCCCCACCTTGTTGGTGAGAACAAGGTCGAGCATAACACCTCTCCTTGTTGGCTCCTCTGTCACTTGGAAAAGGAAGTTCTCGTCAATGCACTCCAGGAACCTCTTGGGTTGCTTATGCCCAGCTGTGTTGTCCCTCCAGCAGATATCGGGGTGGTTGAAGCCCCTCATGAGAACCAGGGCTTGTGAACGTGAGGCTGCTCCCATCTGTCTGTAGAGGACCTCATCTGCTCGGTCTCTCTGGTCGGGTGGCCTGTATCAGACTCCCACTATAATGTCACCTGTCCCTGCCCTCTCTTTAATCCTGACGCGTACACTCTGCTTCTGTAACTCTTATCTGGAGAGAATTAGGTGAAAGGTAGTATAAGAAAATTAAATCTATTTAATAGCAATCTTGAGATCTTTTTGCCCAGAGCAGCTGTGGCTGCCCCATCATTGGAAGTGTTCAAGTTCAGGTGGGACAGGGCTGGGAGCACCCTGGGCTGGGGGAAGGTGTCCCTGC